AGGGGTATATAAACTTGGGAGTTATCGGTAGTAGACAGCGAACAACAATATTTTTTCAGTATTAAATAAGGATTTTATAGACCGTGGAATTATGACGGTAACAATAAATCACAATATCTGGTTTCCATTTAGATAAAGTTTTCAAACATATCCATTGACTTATTTTTAATTATATTTTTGTTGGTTCTTTATATATTTATAAATTACAAATGCCTGCTTTCATTAGGGTAACAAAAATAAATAAAAAATGTTTAAGTAATAGTAGAAAACTAAAAGCTAATTATAATGATTAAAAATAAATTTTAGAAGCGTATTCATTTCCGAAGTTTTTAAGAATAAAATCAATAATTTACAAATTTTACAAATATATAAAATCCTTCGGCTAGGTAGGTCAAAAAGAAGGTATAGTTTAAAATAAGACTAAAATCAGAACCATTTCTTAAATAGGGTATCGCTCTATTCGAAATTTGTATATAATTTATCAATTCCCACTGCTTGTAGATTCTTTGCAAGCAAAGTTTTTGTCCCCAGTGCTGCATATATCCGTCTCATTCGCGGTCTCAATCCTTTTCTCTTTCTATTTCCCAGACTTTACGTCCGTCGATTGTCTCCGTCCGCTTATGTGACTTGCATGCAAGAAAAGTGCTCTATTCCGTGAATCAACTTTAGTATTTCATTTGCTGCTACTCAGTCTAATACTCCGCCGTTCATTTCATTTCATTTCTGTGTGGGTTTTGTCTGGCACGATTGCCATAGAAACTGCAATGCCAAAGCGCATTATTTGATTATGCAGGGGGCACTCGGAAAGAGTGAAAGAGAAGGGTGGTGGAAAACGAAGGAGACAGGACGAGAGGGCGAGGTCAAAGGGCGAGCCAACTTTTGTGTATGATCCTTGAACGAATGCCGCCCGCACTTGCATAACATTTTCAGCTGACTTTTCTGCTGGCTGACCGAATGCATTTCAAAATGCATTTCCCCCTTTTCCGCTTTTACTCTAAAACCACTTTGTTTCATAAATCATTCATAGACTAGTATTTTTATGCCATTTCGATAAGTGGCTCTTGATTGCTTACTTTTCTTTGGAGACTCCCTTTTAAATGGTCTTCAAAAGTCGCTCCTGGCACATAATTTTATAAGAATTGTTTTCTTGGATTTTGTAATTTATGCAGTTAAAAACTTTTATGTTTTTAATTCAATTGTTACAGTCTTTAGTACGTTTAATAACAAAGGCTCATAACAAAATTTTAAAAATGTGTCCCGTAGAGGTAGTTCAAGTTTTACGAATAATTTTTTACTATTCAGCCATTTTATTACCATGTTAATATTTTATATCAGATAATCTTCTTTAAATTCAGATTTCGAAGTATCCACTGTGCTCTGTTTGAAACTCTCTTTTGCAAGCAAAAAGAACTCCGCCTTGGATAAATTATGTTAATTTAGTTCTACCCCTCCTGCTCCACTCACTTTGCTCTTTAATAACTTGACAAATGAAGAAAAGAAAAAGGAGAGCAGAGAAGAATCTTCAACGGACTTACGACTGCCAGGCATATAATTTCGCAAAAGCGCAACAAATTGTTAATTTTCCTTTGCTCTGCCTTGCTTGCGTCTCGTTCTGTTTCTGTTAATTTGCATATTTTCTGGGTTCGTTCGCTTTTTTACTTTCTTATAAATGAAAAATAATTGTTGAGCGTGTCTACAAAATGCTTATAAATTCTAGACAAGTAAAGCAAATTGTTGCCTTTGGGTTGGTTTTAGTATGTACGAGTATACTTAAGATTTTCGTCGGTTAAAGTAATTTAAATTTTCAAAAACTGTATGATTTGGTGTTCCTCAATAAATAAAATTTTAAAACATTATTTAATAAGCTGGCACAGTTATTCAAAACGAATGTTACTTTAAGGAAATGGCACTTCTTTAATATTTGTGAAGTATAGATTGCTTTAAACAAATTTTTCTATCGAGCTATTGAGATTCTGTAAGGTATTTATTTTCATATATTTCTTAACGTTGGTAAGTCTGTTTAATGCAACTGGAAAGCTCTTAAAATCTAAAATGCTAATGAAATTTGACAGTATTTGAAACCCACATATTCATATGTGTCTGGGGCAAAAATCAAAATGCAGTCCAATTTGGTTCGTTTAATATTCGGAGCACAAAGCAAATGGAATCCCTTCGGAACTGGACATTTCAGGTGGACAGGTGATTCATAGACCGGCTCCTTCTCCTCCTCCGAATCCCTGTCTGCGGGAGGGGGAAATCTATCAAATGAGCTGCCAACGCGTTGTGGAGTCAATACAAATTGTTAGCTTCCCCTTTTGGCCCCCTCTAGAAGCTGCCTGTTATTTACTTGGCCAGAAGTGTTTAAAGGGGAGTGCCAGAGGTGGGCGCGGGGGGTAGGATTTTCTGGGGGTATATCTGTGAGCATTATTCAATGTTTGCAACGAACGTGCGCAAATTACGGATTCAATGCACGTAGCCGGCGGCCAGAGCTTCCAAGCTTCCCGCCTCGAGCGTTTCTGTTCAGTCTTTGTTTACCCAAAAGCAGTCGTTGTTGTTGTAAATGTCTACCGCCATCATCAACGCTCAGGCAGCAACTGTCCTCTTTCGCTCACGCTGGCATACTCCAACTGGCGACACATTAAAATAATGTATTTTTAAATTTAACATTAATTGCCGTTGAATGGTTTCCGAATGGGCTGCTATACTGGAAAAAATAACTAAAAACGCCATCAAAATAACCGAATTTATTGTTTTTGAAAACAAAACGCCTGAAAAGGAATTAAGTTAAACAGGAACTTTATTTAATTAGGCAAAATAGGAAAATATTTAATTAGGCAAATTAAAGTTATAAAAATGTTTTTACTAACAAATTAGGAATACTTATTTTAAATTAATAACAACATGGAACATTTTTTATGCACTTTTTAGTTTTAATATATCAAAGTGTATGTCATACTTCTTGAGATTAATAGTGCATTTTTACAATTGAATATTTTTCTCAGTGCACGCAACGGCTGCGCCTGTTCCTTTCCATTTACTGTTACTTTCTTGGCGAAGCATCTCAAGGAGTGCCCCCTACAGCAACAACAGCGATTTTCGCTGGTCGCTCGCAGTGCATTAAGTCATCATTTTATTTTAATTTTTTTCGGAGACTTTTCCCATAAATCGTTTTTCCTTCGCTTGAGACCTTAATGTTTTTATATAAGACGCGATGAGGGGAAAATATGTTTTTTATGGCTCTTGGCATTTTGCATGCATTAGCGAGTGTCTCTTAGTGTTTGTAAGCGCTTAGGCTTGAGTGAAAAATTTTGATTATATTTGTTAAGCAATTGAAAAATTTTTCATCGCCGAGCAATTTTGGGAAGGGGAAGTCTGATGTGGAAATTGAGATGCAAAGTGGTGAAAAATGGTTAAAGTTTAATAGCGAGAAGCTATAATTTGTGGATTTGCATTAAAGAATACCCTTTGCCTTTTAATCATCAATTTAATAATTATTCTACGGTTTGTTGATCTTCTTAGTGTATATATATGTTACTTTCCTCATGTATTGTTCATATAATATACCTCCTAGCAGCTTAAGCTCTTCGTGCGATGACATTTTACAGGATATGTAGTCAAGTTGCCTAGTTCGCAGCCCAGTTTACCACAATGCAGCATTAATCCAGTGTTAAGCTGGCACACAGCCTCACTCACTCCCTCCAATTAAGTAGCCGGGGCATTAAGTAGACGCAGCTAATGGTGGGCTATAAGTGCCCATCAACAGGGATGCTCCCTCCCACTGGACAACGACCCCTCCAAATTGTCTATGACTTTCATTCGATTTGCCTAACAAGCCATAATCATGTGCTGCTGTATTTAATTACTACCGTCTGGTCATATTGGAAATTGTCCGGGCTAAGAAAGAGAGGCATTACTATTGGGTGAAAGGGACGGGGAAAACAGGAGCCGGGCCGGCAAACACAATTGAGTCATTAAGCCGCAATCTAATTAAGCCTGAAAATGTGAAATGAGCCCGGGAATGGACAGCAACGAAAAAGCCTCTAAGTTGGCTTAGAGGCAGCGCGTTAAACGAATTAGTTTTGGTCTTGTTCTTTGACTTGGGAGTCCGAAAAAGAGGGAACTCATCCGGAGTTCACAAATTTTTACGGCACTTTAACGTGACCGTTTTCAGCCTGTCGTCTTTTTTCTTTCCGAGTTTTACATTTTTGTTGGTCGTCAAGATTTATTTCGTGTCTGCCCGCGACCACGTAGGTCATTAAATGGTTTAGAAATCGCGGACAGCCGCTTTAGAACCCACTGAAAGTATCTCAGTATCCAAACCCAAATAACCGAGCCCAACCCAAGACCCCATTCTCAAATGAACCACAAAATGACTGAGAAAACGGGCAAAACACGCAATCGTACAGTGGTTCGCGATGGCTAAAAAGTTCGGAGTTGTAGCTAAAGTCTTGGCTTAAAGTCGTATTCTTTTGTGGACGAAAAAATTTGTGCAAAGACTAAAAAACATTTTGTTTTTTCGTTAAAATTACAATGTTCTGTGTAGTTCTTAATAACAATATAGTTAATTCTTCTTTGAATATAATGTTAAAATTTATAAAAACTTCATACAAAGTAGTCCCGAAATGTGATACAACTTTTTTTTTGTTTTTTTGCACCCACACTTAAGAACTTTTTACATCGGCCAAGACCACTGTTTCGACTGTTTCATCTCTAATTTTTTGTTGGTTTTCTTAAGTTTTTGTAGCTTTTTAAGGCTGCCTGGTAGCAACCGGGTCCCAGCCCCTAGAAACAGATACAGTTAATGCCACAAATGATGTCTAATGACGGTTTCGCCTTACGCGTTGAAATAGCCCAAAACCGCAGCTATGGTGGAGTTAAGTCTATGGGCGGAGTGTGTGATAGAAATTGATGTGGACTCAGATGGATTAATGCGCCACCGGATCAAGGTCGCACTGGTGGCTAATCGATAATAATCCCGCCCGGATCACAGCCAAACTTACCTTCAACTTTGGCCAGGGCCAGCACGGAGATGGTCTGGAGGGCGGGAACCGCCCAGGCAACCAGGTGGAATAAGTGCGACTTGTTCTCAATCGCCTCGTGGCCCCATTTGAGGCCGGCGGCCAAAAACCAGGCGAATGCCAGGCACGACCACCATGCAAAGGCCGCCATGCAGCAGAAGTAGAGTGCCATGAATAAAACCGTGCAGGACGTGGTCTGGCGGTGGCCCTGTCGGAAAAAGAAGAAAAGTCGGTCAATAAAATTACAATTAATTCAGGGCCAGACTCAAAGGTCGAAACTTTCAATACCCTCTCTGGTGAGTGACTTCAGAGAAATATAATCTACCTTGACAATAGTTAAATACTTACAGAAAACGAAAAAGGTAAGAAATATGGTATTATTGGACATTCCTGGTAAAATAAATTAAGGTTTTTTTTTTCGCGATTGTGTTTAAACAATATAGACAAATAAAATGTGGTATCAATCATATTCTTTGGTGCTCCACAGACTTTTTCCAACCGAATTTGGTTGGGAAAGGCTTTTGCAGCTGCCAAAAAAAAACGAAGTATAAGTCTTAAATACTTTTGTGGTTGGCTTATTTATAAAAAACTAAAATGTCAAATATTGAGGTTCTTTAGCAATCTCCAAATAAATTTTCATATAATAATACAGTCACAATTATTTCTTTAATTCTGTGCTGATAAATGGAACATTTATATGTAAAGATAGGAAATATTTAGTTTTGTTTTAATGATCTTCTTTTTTAAATGACTCAAGAAACTCTAGAATTTTGTATTAGCACAAGATCCTGTTAAAAATGTAAACGAAAGCCCTGCCTCTCCATGGCTTGCAGCAAATAAAAGTTTGCCCATCAATGGCATTAAAAATGAGTAAGGACTGGTTTCTCAGGCACTGCAGAGATGCCTCTGCAGGGTCATCTCACCTGGGTGATGGTGGACATCATCTGCAGGCGGCCGAGCTTGACGGGCGGCGGAAATGGCTCCCGGCACGAGACGGAGTCGCCCGCCCCCAATCCCGCCACGTAGGCACATCCAACTACCAGGTAGCAGACGGCCAGAAAGACGATGGCCCGTTCTGGGTAGCGAAAACGCGACGAGTCGATCAGGAACGTGAGCACCTGCAACGAGTCAGAAAGGGGAGATGGTTATTAAATATATATTTAGATTTAATTAGGTTCGCCCTAATTAAGCCGATGTGCTTTGATGTTCCCTTAAAAATGCATTAGTGTTTATATGAGCGGTGGGTCATTAAAGGAGAGAGGAACCTATTAGGGATCCTCTTCCCAGCGCCTTTTGGTCATTAGGCTCTACACATTAGCTGATTGTGATTGTTGTGCCATTTACTCCAAAAGCCGAGATTCATTTAATTCGCAAGGTTTCTTTTCCCTTGGTCGGTTGGCCTTAATGTATTTGGCTAAAATGTCCTTAGCTGGAATGGACATTGCAAAGGAAGCTAAGACAAATGCAAAAATGAGCGGGCTCAGTTTTAACCACTTTAAAATGTGATTACTTTTTAGAAGGCTATCCCATAATTATCATTATCATTAATAAATATCTCATTATTAAAAAATCTAAATAGTTAATTAAATCTAAATATAAATATCAATGTTTGACATGTTGCATACAATAAATTCATATTTAACAAAACTAATTACTAATTATTGCGATGTTAGAAATAAATTCCAATTATCCACACTAAATTCATCTTAAATATACTAAATTTTTTATTGGCTAATAATAAATAATAAATAAGTTGACTGCCTGCTGGATATAAATATATTTAAATAAAGCGCTAAGTGCATTAAACCCATGTTAGTTTTCCAATAATTTTAAAAGGGCCTTTGAAAATTTACATATTTCTAGTGCCAAACCACCGTCAATAATTGGATAAGTGTTCTGATTGAGACATTGAATATATTAACTCATTGTATCAGCATTTGCCAGTTTGGCTTACCAACAACCAATCGGCTCTTCCTCTTGATCAGACACCACTTCCGGTTTGCCAGAGGATGAACTAGGAAATGGTGAAGGCAGGCATATATGAAGACAGAGATAGAGAGCTCGAGATAGGATCAACAGAATGGTTGACAATTCCTCAAGGCTTTGAAAGCAATTACAGTCCACACACACACAGATACTGTTTCCCCTGCCTTGCCAACCACAAGCTCACACATTAAACTTTCCCCACCCTTTGCTGGATTTCTCTGTGCCTGTCTGATTACGCGCCATTTAAATAAATTCATTATCATTCCCACTAAGCCAGGCCAAGGAGTCTTTTGTCTAAACCAGAAACCCCGAACCAGAAAACCCGACCAAACCCAAGCAAGTCATTTAATTTGATCATTACAAAACTATCAGAGAGAAACAGTTAGCTGGAAGTTCTTTGTGTGGGTGGCCCTGTTTGCATGTGTGTGTGTGTGTGTGTGTGTGAGTATCTGTGTGGTGTGTGGGTTGTGTTTGCATTCGAGTTGTTCGCATTGCATTAATGTGCTGAGTATTATTGTTGCCACGACAAGACCCCTGAATTATTCATAGATGCAGAACGCACTTCTCGGCTCCGAATCGTGGCTAACATCAGTCTTCCTCACGAACCCGATTGCTGCACTGGGAAAAAAGACTAGTCGACCATTGAATATATCATGAAATAAACTGAATTATTAGTTATTAAACTAAATAAGTTGACTTTAAATTGGTGTTACTATTTTATTTATTTTTAAGTCATTTTTGTATAAACCGACTGCCATTGATAGATTTTTCATTCGAATGCACAATAATTTACCCTTGCAATTTTCATAAAAATAATAAAATGTTGATTACATTTTGCAAAGTTTAAAAAATGTATAAACGAAAAGCTGATGATCGATTTCTCATTTGAATGCACAATGCACAATGCATTTTTATATAAAAAATATAACGTTATTTCATTTTTATTTGGAAAACCAATTTCTTCCGTATATCATCTATTCATTGGAAAATATTTTTTCTTTCGGACTGGCTCCCATTGAAATTACAGTTCTCTTGGCCAGCTTACGTCTAATTTCCACCTACGCATTGTCTTTGCTGCCCCACCCTTGCCTTTCATCCTCATTTAAATGCAAAATATATTCGTGATGGCGGAGAAATAGAATAGGAAGTGAGTCAGTATGTAACTCCTTCTGCTGACAACGCTCCAATGCAGAAGAAACAAGCTGAGAAATTGAATTGAATTGTTTATTTATGCCAAAAGCAACAACAGAGAGTCACTGCTCCAGCCCATTCCCTTTTAACTTCCCGTAGCAATTTGTTATGCCACGCATGATAGGTGAAAAAGGGGGAAATTTCTGTAGGTGTGACTAGGTACAAATGAAACGAAATAAGCTGCAAATGTTGAAACATTTGGCAGACTCCGACATCTTTAGTACCCCTCTCGTTTCCGCCCTCCTAGACCCGCCCTAAAATTATGCGTCACTGGGGGCGGCAGTTTTCCCAACTTGGCGAAAACCATACGGAGTTTCTTGGGGCCACACCCACACAAACTTGCATTGGAGAAGAGCTTAGTTTGAGTGGCACTCGTATATGGAAACATAGAAGAGGTTTCCATGCGCTTGTATACCAAAAAAGAAACTGTGAAAATTGTTTGGAAATTTAACAGAGAAACCTTTTAATCTAACAATTATGCTGTGTTTGTATATCTTAAAATATGTGATAAGTTTTCATTGAATAGGAATAAACATAAAAAATTTCATTTATATTAATATTACGAGTTACACCTGGTTTTGTATATTTCAAAAATGTTACTATCTATGTTTAAAAAACTTAATGCCCTAAAGTTTATGCCATTTCGTATTAGTTGTCATTTTCCTAATTAAAACTAATTAAAATAATGAAATTTGCTATAAGCCATTTTTAATTGATTAAAATAAACCACTCCAATTTTATATAAACCATCTTAAAGCATTTGTATCCACATTTTCAATAAAATTAAGCTATTAGTCTTTATATAAGTCCTACCACAATTGCTCAGGAGACTTCTTCTGCCCAAAAACTTTTCTCCGACGCTTTTCCCATTTCCACAGTCTTCTGTTTAAGTTCTCCCAAACATTTCCGTCAACCAACTCCAAATAAATTGTTTAAGACGAGCCGACGCGCCTTTCATGTTCAACCCATTTTACCCATACCTAATTGATTAAAAAATAAATAAAATAATATAAATTAGCTAAAAGCATTTTTATTCACATTTTTCAATCAACTTAAGCTATCAAACTTTATAAAACTCCTACCACAAAAGCTGAGGTGACTTCTTTTGCCAAAAACTTTCCTCCAATGCTTTTCCCATTTCCACAGTTTTCAGGTTAAGATCTCCCAAACATTTTGGTCAACCAACTCGAAATAAATAATTTAAGTCGAGCCGCCGCGCCTTTCATGGTCAGTGAAAAAAAAGTAATTTTAATTTTTAGCGCTCATAAATTTTGTAGAGTTGGGTCATTAAAATCAGCCCAAAACTAAAGTGGTTACACCCACCTACCGCCCCGAAAACCGCACCGCCCCCTTCTTCGCTAGAGTGTTGAAAACTAAAAGCCACAGAGAAGCTTTGAGAGCTTTGCCAGCGGTTGGCAGTTTTTGAATTTTGCATAAATTAGATTTAACTCACAACTAGCAGACTAAAAAAAAACTCGCTCAAAAATGGTATAAATTTGCATAAGGAAACAACAACAATGGTCCGGTTATTTTTTCTAGGGTGGATCGTCTATTAGAATAACTAACTATTATCATAAACATTTCAGTCAGTTTGGACAGCGATTGCGGCATAAATTTGGTGGCAAAGGTTTGCGGCGAAGTTTTATGTTGTCTGTTTTTGTCATTTGATGTTTATGGCATGTATTTTTTATGCATATCAATGATTAAATATTTCGTGCATATTTAAAAACTATTAATAACGTTGTGAAGAACTCAAAACAACTAGTCTGAAAATCCAACTGTCAAAACAAGTAGCCCAAAAAAAGGCGGTTAGAAAAGAAACAAATTGGAATGGGTTGAATGTAGATGACATTTGGGTGCAGTCACCATGAACTGCCATATTTGCTCATATCGTCTCCAGTCTCAACTATCGAAATATCCGCCTCACTGAACTTTCAGTTTCTGCCTCTCGATTTCCCTTTTTTTGAGCTCCCAGCAGCCGGTTTTGTAATTAAGAAAAAGTCATCAAAGTCAACGACTATACGATTATTTGCTCTCTCAGCAAACACACATTGTCATTTCCTCTTTTCGCATTTCATTGCAAAACAAATGTCAAGAAAGAAGGGCGCAGGAGGAGAAAAGCTCACTCGGTGTCTCATCGCATCTAATGCGCTTAATGAGAAAGGTGTTGATTGTTGACAGTTGATGTGACACACAGAATCCCCCATTTTCCATTTTTCCGTCATAAGTTTTCTTCTGCAGAAATTCGTCAGACAATTTTACCTGTCGCACAAGCAAAACTTTTTGTGGGTGCAAAAATATTTGTTTTAGTTCGCGAAAATTGAAATAAAATGTGCTTGTTTATAATTTCGCTTGATACTTGGAATGAAAAGCCCTAAAGGGGTTCCCAGGTTAGCAAAAGTTGGGCTGTCATAGAAAATTGGTTGGGGAAAAGTTGGGATTACTTTCCTTCAGTAACTTTGACTTGACTTAAAGTTTACGTTCTTATACTGCCAGCTATCAAAATAATGTGTTCGTTGTGTGAGATATGGCCAGGACTTTGCAAAATTTTTAATGCTGAAAGGTAGACAAATTTATCTTTTTCAAATGCTTGATATTTTAAATTTTCATGTGTTCTTTATACATTTTATCATTGCTGCATCAATATTTTCCTTAACAAAATTTCATCATTTCAATTAATTAACTGAGCACTTTATTTATTAAATACTGAAACTTTCCTGAATGTCACAACAAAATCCATATATATGTAAGGCATTCTGAGCACAAAGGCAAACATTCATCGGTGTACAAATATTTTTAGATATATTTTTTACCCTGTCCATCTGACCAAAGGATCAACTGCAATTTTCTAATGCTCTCGTGTGTGCTATGTTTTTTGTAGCCATTTTCATTGACATACTTCTGTGTCATTGCAATTTTTATCCCCACACACATGTGGAGTGAAAGTTTTTAAAAATCAACAAACAAACAAGCATAACCCACATTTCATGGGGAATTTATTGAGATGTATCGAGCACTATTCACATCCTCATATAAACAGGGGAAAATGGCAAACGGAAGAGGAAGCAACATAAAAAGCCATTCAAATATTTAATGTGTGTGCGCTAGAGAAAAACATTTTCCAAGGCTTATAACGGCTTATTTGGGTTGACTTTTTAAAGCCAACAAAAATGGGAAACAGAATTCCGGACTACAACCTAAACATGCGAGCTCTTAAAAATGTCCAACGAAATAGAAGTTTATCACTTAATTTACACTTTTGAAAATGTACGTTATCGGAAAATTAAATTTAATACAACGAAACTGACAGATATCTTCCAGTTATTTGATTAATTTGACATTTATTTTACCATATAATGACTTCCATGCATTTTAATCAATCAGAAAATGCTATAAAACAAACTGACGTGAGAGAATGGGAAATTTCCATCATAATTGAGAAAATGTTGCAGTCGACTAAATAACAAAACATAGAGGCAAAATTTGCATGAACTGGAACTGATGAATGCGTAAAAATGCTGAAATCCAACGAATGAAATCGAGATGGAGAGCACTCAGAGAACATAATCATAATCGTAAAAAGTAAGTAGAATGAGCTAGCAAATGAAAGTCGTCGTTGGCCCTGGAAAAACAATTTCGAAATTTGCATAGAATTTGTTGTTGTTTTGCTGTTATGAGTTGCACTGATATGCCACGCCCACGAAGGACAGCAATATCTGGCGCCGACAATGGGCGACAAATTATATGCAATGACAAAAATTTATCACATGGAGAGAAAAGAATCGGAGCAGACACATGCAAAACATGTCGCCATGTGAGTGACAATGTTCCCAGGGGGTGTGTTCCACCCCCAGGCCTCCGAAAAAAGCCCCTATTTCTCTGGGCTTGATGGATGTAGCGCCACTTTATGATGTGTGTGTGTTTATGTGTGTGTTCGAGTCAGTCAGGACCTCTCCAGTTTTGATAGATGTATTTTTGGGGCCTCCCATCCTAACTCCGCCCCTTTATTTTTCCCCTGTCTGGTTGCCTGGGAATTATAAGCACGGTTATCATATTCATTTTTTGTTTCTCCTGTTGATTAGTGCCTGTCATGTGCCCGGTCCAGAGCACCTAAATTGATTTTTTATTCAAATTTTGTCAGTTTTTTCACTTGATGGATATAAGCAAAAAGAAACAAGGCACACAAAAAAACCAAACACATTTGCTGATGGGGGAAAAATGCCTGACTAACAAGTTGATTTCCATATGTGAAAGTGATGGAGGCAATGGAGTGAGACATTGGCAGAGAGCATCCCTTTTAGGTCCTTACACATGATGAATAGTTCCAAGGAGATGAGATAATTAGACAAGTCAATTGATTGATTTATGGTTATAGGAAATGTTTAAGCAGAGCGGGATAAATGGTGTCGGTATTAAATGGAAATTTAAGTGGGAGAATTGCAAAAGTCTACTGACTTGATTTGTTTTCTTTTGAAACCATTAAGATAATAAAAGCAATTAAAAAGTCCCACGTCCAAAGTAAATCTAACAGATGCCGTATCTTTAATAAATTGATGAACAATATCCCAAACCCTTCTATCTTCTTAGAAATCTGTGTATTTGATTTCATTTTATCTGCTCTCACCTAACCTCGAAACAACCATAAATAACCTGTAGGCCATCAATTTCCCTTCCCATATTTTTGTCATATTTCTTTGACCTTTCCCACCACCTTGGCCTGTGACCTTTAACTCTTTAAGTTCGTGGCCATCTTCGCTTCTTCAGCAGTCACATTTTCAATTCGATCCTTCGCACACTGAATGGCAAGGATTACAATACAGAACTATTTCCAATATTAGTTTAGAGCTCATCCATCCTGAAGGCATTCGAATATAGTCGAATCAAAGGGAGCAGAGGACATGGCATGCCCAGGACATTCCGAAATATCAAAGGGCAATTCTAATAATATTTGAAATTTACTTTTGTTCTGCCATTTGTCCTCCCACAGCCGCATTCACACATGCCACATGCCAAGACGAGCTCCAGAGCGCTCTTCTCCCTTTGTTCCCCTACATGCCACCTATGTATATCCCTTCTCCATCAAAGGAATCCTGCTTGCCAAGAACGCCTTGGGGTCTTTTGTGGGGCTGGCGGGCGGAGTGGTTTGATGGCGTGGCTTCTGCATATGTTTTACCAAGTTTATTGAAAAATATGCGCTGACAGGTAATATGTCAATGCGTGGGATTTACTTAAGTGCCAACGCCTTCGTCCTGGCATCCTACCTTCCGTATATGTTTTGCCCCCTTGCTCCAGAATAATAGACACGCTGAAGGAGCTGGATTCACTCGCTTGGGCCCCGTATAAGATGTTTACTTTCAGCTCTAAAGAAAATATGGCAGCACTCTGGCAACCGAGGATAAACTAAGTTTGGAGGGGGAACCAATAAAACAACATAGCTGAGCACACTGTAAGGTACCTAAGATACCTGCATTTTCAACAAAGCTTTATTTTTATATTATATTTTATATATAACTCGATATTTTATCTAGCAAATACTTCACCGCTTAAAGCGGACATTAAGTTCATTATTTGTTTAATGAAAATTAAAATAACTATATTCCCTTTTCGCCAATCCTAAGAGCATTGTTCTTTAAATTATTTAGTTCATTTTATTGCAACAAGTTTGTGATTTGCTTTAATAGGTAAGATAGTTTTGTGGTAATGCTGATAAATAAATCTTGTATTAGAAACTACATTATAAGATAAATTTACTATTAATTAGGATTGAGCAATTTGATACCTTTTGTGCCAAGCTATATAATGGAAAACTGCTCCCATTGATGTGAAACCCAATTACATTGTTAACTTAAAGAATAACATAAATTGGAATATTAAACACTCACCGTAAACAAGCAGCTGGCAACGCACACCGCTGCCCAGGATCCAACCCAATATCGGAGAACAGTCCTTTCTCTCTCGGGGAAAAACATGGCATGACATGGGGCTCCGCAGTCATGGAGATCCTGCAGAGGAACAATAACAGAAGCGAATAAGTAAATGTGAAGTGAAGTGGGGGTAAGTGAAGAGGAAGCCTTCAAAGGAGGAAACTCATTTGCAGGCAGCGATTAATTAATAAGGCTTGTATTAAATGTGGGCCAAATTGGATTGAGAGTTGCAATTAAAGAGGATTAAAGGAGGCAGCTTATAGAGCTCGCACACAAATTAATTTGAGAATAAATGAATTAAATCCTAGTTACAGAAGGATTACTAAACGCAATTCCTGAGCATGAAATGGTTGATTATAGAAACAGAAAAAAAAGATAAGATACCAATAAATTTTTTTTTATATTATAATTATTATGGATTTTTTGTAAATTAGGGTTCATAATCAGATCACTATCATTGTGCACAATTTAATAATCTTTCCCACTAACATCACATGTAACATACATAAATAGTAACCATTTATTACTAATATACTTCTGATTTTATTTATTCTTAAGTTGATGATAGGTGCAACCCTTATTAAAAAGTAGAAAATATTTCCTTTACCTGCACAATTTAGAGCCATTTCAAATTAGCATAAATTTGTGAGGACATTTTTGAAATTGTGCCTTCAGGGCAGCACAATCTCTCAAATGACATCAGGGACCAGTACAATGTACAACCCCCATTTGGCAAAAATCTCATCGGACTGACAACTCTGCACTTCCAGTGTCCAAACTCCGGACTCAAACAATAACTGCAGTTTAATGAGATTTCCCGGTACAGAGATCTGAACTCCATTCAAAACCCAACTCAACCTTGAACTCCAAAAAGCTGAGGCGAAATCAACCCCCGCAGAAACAATTGCATTTCGAAGTGCGGCAACAATGCAAACGCACTTACACACACAAACAGTACGCCCTCGTTAAGTGGAAAACGCAAATGAAAACTAGATTTTGTTTGCTTTTAAACTCAGCAAAGTATTTCAAATCATAATTCAGAAAATACTGACAATATTTAATCTAGTTAATTAATTTATAGAACAAAGATGTATAAAAAAATTACTCGAAACACGGTTCATGGTAGGAAATATTGACTGTAAACAACAGCAGACAGTCGAAGGCAACTCCCCAGTTTGGCATTCACTCTGTGGATGTGAGCGAGACAGATGGAAGAGTTCTGGCGCATTGTAAACCGCAAGAGATTTGAATTTTAGATAGCATAACATGCACGCACATAACACACTCAAACAAAACCCCGAGGGCGGGTTTTTTACCCTGTTCGAGTACGAAAAAATATTGTTGCATGGCTTCGCCGCAAAGAGTCTCTCAAAGTGAGCTCAAAACCCAGCTTGGAGATAAAGAAGATCTCTGGACTGCAGCAAGACTTTTTTGGCCCCCCTTTCTCACATCGGAAAAACATTCAGCCCACTGAAAAAAATAACTGTGAAAACCCAAAGTACCCAAAACCGTTTACGTATAGTTGCCCCTGGTAAACTATATAAACCTTAAATAGTATTTTTATGCGAGGATATTCTTCCTATTTAAAGCTATGCCTATACTTGGATACAAAAATTCGCAACAGGTTAAGCAACCAAAATTGATGGCAGGGAGTGATTCTTTTTTACCATTAAATCCTGTTAATACTCTGGCCAAATATTAATTTTTTTCTGTTTTAACATTTCCTTGTTATAAATGTTTCTTATTTTCATTTAAATAGTTACCCAAAAATGTTTATGTCACCCAAAAAAAATTAAAAAACTAAGGGGCTATTATAGCTTCTAGTTAGTAATATTTTTTGCAGTGCAAAACCCTTTGGAGCATAGAAACGCAGAGAGATCAAGGGACCAAAGCTTGGCTGCAGTTGTTCCTCTGTCAAAGAGCAAACTTCCCCCGAATGTGCGGACTGTCCCCGTTCCACAGCCTTCTGTCTGTCTGTGCTTTATTTCAAATTCCCATTAAAAATTTAAAATCCTCCCCCCCCCTGAACACAGCAGCCCCTGGCTTTCCAACATTTTTGGCAATCATCGTTAGGTTAGCGGCGCAAATTGCGTTTTTCTGCTGCTTTGGGGAGCGGCGAAAAGGGAAGATTTAGGGGGAATCGATGCCGGCGATAAGCAAGTGCAGACAGAACGAGATGGCACACTTAGAACTGTTGACTGGGGCAATATTTACGCATATTTGGGGCGCATAAGGAAACGGACCCACAACAATAACATAAAGCAGCAGTGCCGAGGGTTCTTGAGGGAACGGAGAATCTCCTCTAAATTGCCTGCAGTTTTTTTTTTTTTTTTTGCCCAGCCACGTTTATCTGAAATTATTCTGGAAGCTTTTAAGCCTGCTTTAAACCAGGCAAGCAATGAAAATTTATATTTAAATTTTAATGAACTAATTTTGAGGGATTCCAATTGGCCAGCAGCAGAAAATGAGGCTTATTTGGAGAGCCAACATTAGCTGAGATGGCAAATGAAGTTGGATAAAACATTTTCGGTGGTCTTGATAGTCAAGTATAATGATACCTTATGAGTTTTATTTAAGAGCTAAAGCTTTATTTTACTATTCAGCTTTAAGCCATTTTAAAAATATATCGAAATATTTGGTGTTCTCTCTATCAAAATAGTTTTGCCGACCAATTAAGAATATAATTGTTGGATTAACAAATATTTTCTTACACACCTCAGGCTCAACAAAAATAATTATATTTTCAAGCTAGTACTTAAACTCAGCAATTGCTAAATTGTATGTTCTTCTTATTCAACTTTCGTTATGGGCAAACTTTACTTACTGGAAAAATATAATTAAATTGTTCTTCTATCTTGTAATCTTCTCCACATGACCATAACATTTATCAGGCTCGTTCCACTTAGGATTTTATATCTTGGTTCTATCAGCAATCGCTTCCTGTTGCTCTGGTCAATAGATCTATCCGCCGATCCATCCATCTATCTTTATTACCAAACCAAAATCAAACAGACTGCCCCTTCTATGGGTAATTGTAGCCCCCACATCCCCACTTATACCTTAAAGAATAAAATGCCCCCAGAGCAGTCGACAACAACAACTAGTTGCAACATTGACCAAAACGAAAGGAGTCGAGAGACTTGCATTGTTAGTCGTAGTTGCTGCTGTCCCTTTGTATATATATATTTATTTTATATATTTTTTTTCTGTTCTGGGCTCCAGACCGGGATCCCATTGTCTTGCGATTTTTATGAGGCATGTATAAATAATTGCGCCCAAAGGCCGCCGACATAAGTTTTCATGCCGCGTGAGCATCCGACCATCAGCAGCAGCTAAAAGCTGGGGAATCAGTAACAACAAGAGCTGGACAGCGACTAAACCGCCCTGCAAGAGTCCACCCTATCCGCCTACCTCCTCCTTGAATGCACCATGCCGCCTTTTACACGAAAAAAAAATGTTCCACAAAATATTTCATCTCTGGCATACTATAACTATATGTCACACAAAAATAAATTCTCTACTATTCAATGCAAAATTATATAAAACATTTTCAACGGAAGTAATACAATGTTTTTTCTTTGTGTAGTCTAAATGTGCCAACTACAAGATCCAAACAATACAGAAAATTTCGTTAAAGTTGTATTTTTTTGCGCCAGCGGCTACAAATAAAACACAACAAAAAAGAGGTGGGCAAGGCATGAAGAATGGGAATGGGCAAGGGTTTCGCAGTTGTGGAGAAGAGCCAGAGTCATAAACCAAGTTTAGCTAACATTTAAGGAGTTTTTAATTTATTATAGATAAATTTTATGCCGTCGCGAGTTATGAAAGGCCAAAGGGAATGAGGGAAAGGAGTGCAGCCAGCGCAAAGGGAATCCTTCCAGCTGGCCGTCGCTTCACGTTTTAGTTGGGGGCGTGTTGATGATGATGGTGGAAGCTGCAAATTATTACCACTCTGAGAGATGAGGCAACTGAAACACAGGCCGAGTCTTTATGCAAGAAACAGTGGGCTTAAAGGCAATAGAAATTGGTTGTGAAATATATTTGTACCGAAATGGAAAGGGACATGTTAAATTCGTTTTTAAGAAAGAGCCAACTTAAATGTTAATGTATTTTTATTTAAAGGTTAATAACAGATGAAACAATTTATATAAATATTATTTATATAAAAAGTTATTCCACTTCCCTTTTGAAAAAACCTTCCTTGGTTTTCAAATAATACTAAAACAACAGACTTTTAAACTTTTCTCTTTTTTTAAAAAATTGAAATTAAAAACTATTCCAATTCCACTATGCACCTAAGGCTGAAAAACTTTGTTTAAATGTTTCCAGACTTCCTCCTTCTCCTAATCCTCCTCCTGCAGGCGTCAATCCCCTTCTCGTACTTTTTAGACAACCCTCGGACAGCGTTAATGAAGATTCTCCCCATATAGACGGCATATGTTTGCTTGTGTGCCATTTTTGGGGGTGTTGCTGACGTTGTTAAAGTCAAAATAGACAGAGCAACAGACAGCAGGAAAGAGAGCAAACAGGAAACGAAACGAGACGGAGAGTTCAAATGTCCTAGGGTGGATTCGAACAGGAAGATATAGGCAGGAGGATGTTCCACGATGGCCGGCTGACAACTCTCCGTCCGTCACTGTACTGTTTTTCTTTCTGCACAGACAGACAAGAACAACAATTTGAATTCAATAAGGAAGCGGCGGCAAGAAGAAGCCAAGTATATTCCCACTCAGGTCAAGAGTTCAAATGGTCAGAAAGACCCAGAATAATCATAAAAAGGAGTCAAAGAGCCAGACAACAAATTCCCCGAAAATAAAAAGCGAGTCACACATTTTCCTTTGCTGACCGCAACACAATGGAAGGCGGCTAAAAAAAAATGCCTGCTCATAATTTATTAATATTATTGGTTGGGGGTCAGCCAAGTTGGACCCACATGAAAACCCACTACACCCCTCACAAATTACACATGTCGACACTTTATTAAAAGCAGAGAGAAGAAAAAAAGGGTTTTAAGGACTTTGATTCCATATTGGAGGATTTTAAGGTCCGCTTTGTTATTTTTTTTTTTTTGGGTCTTG